CAGTAGAATGTATCATCTGAATTTTTTTTCAGTCCCATTTCCATGAATTTACAGATGTAGAACTTTTTTTATTAGAAGTGGAAAAGGTACAGAAGGTCTGCTAAGGTGTTCCCATCATAGAAATTTCCCTTCACTCCCTGTTGTTTCTTAGAGACAGGAATCACACAGCAAACAAAAAAGTGTGGGGAAGGGATAGAAGGTCTGTCAAGATTTTATTGTCTGGTGATGCTTATATGATGGAATCAAAGCTGGTTTAAAACCGTCATGGGCCTTGAACACTTTCTTGGTCCTCATCTGTTTTGCAGGTGAGGTTACTTACTTTAGCTGAGATGACTACAGTTGTGTCCAAAATTATTCAACCCCCAATGCTGTAAAGGGGTTTAGGGACTATAGTGTACATTTGGAATTGTATTCAGAATCAAATCCTACAAGGACGTTGTAACTACCCAAATGCAACTAAAATGACATCAATTGTTTATGTAATACAGTAGTAAATGGTTCTTATGTGGTTTCTTCATTGCCACAATTATTCAACCCCTTAAAGACTACCACTCTGAAGAACAGAGGTTCATACAGGTGCTTTCCATCAGGTATTGAAAACACCTGTGGATGTCACCGAGCAGCAATCAAGCATAATAAGCACCAATTAGGCAGCTTTAAAATGACTGTGATACTCAGCTCCTTCTAGACATTTACTGGTGTGGTTACAAACATGGTGAAGGCAAGAGAATGGTCCAGGAAGACAAGAGAAGAGGTGATTTCTCTTCACAGGAAGGGCAATGGCTATAAGAAGATTGCAAAGATGTTAAACATACCAAGAGACACCTTAGGAAGCATCATTCGCAAATTCAAGGCAAAGGGCACTGTTGAAACGCTACCTGGTCGTGGCAGAAAGAAGATGCTGACTTCGACTGCTGTGCGCTACCTGAAGCGTAGAGTGGAGAGAAGTCCCCGTGTGACTGCTGAGGAACTGAGAAAAGATTTGTCAGATGTGGGTACAGAAGTTTCAGCCCAGACAATAAGACGCACACTGCGTAATGAAGGCCTCCGTGCCAGAACTCCCAGGCGTACCCCCTTGCTGTCTCCAAAGAATAAGAAGAGTCGACTGCAGTATGCCAAAAGCCATGTGGACAAACCACAAAAGTTGTGGGATAGTGTTCTGTGGACTGATGAAACAAAATTAGAACTGTTTGGGCCCATGGATCAACGCTATGTTTGGAGGAGGAAGAACAAGGCCTATGATGAAAAGAACACCTTGCCTACTGTGAAGCATGGTGGAGGGTCAATCATGCTTTGGGGCTTTTTTGCTTCTGCAGGTACAGGGAAGCTTCAGCGTGTGCAAGGTACCATGAATTCTCTTCAGTACCAGGAGATATTGGATGGAAACGTGATGCAGTCCGTCACACACCTGAGGCTTGGGAGACGTTGGACCTTTCAACAGGACAATGATCCCAAGCATACCTCCAAGTCCACTAGAGCATGGTTGCAGAGGAAAGGCTGGAACATTTTGGAGTGGCCATCGCAGTCACCAGACTTAAATCCGATTGAGAACCTCTGGTGGGACTTAAAGAAAGCAGTTGCAGTGCGCAAGCCTAAGAATGTGACTGAACTGGAGGCCTTTGCCCATGAAGAATGGGCGAAGATACCCGTAGATCGCTGCAAGACACTTGTGTCAAGCTATGCTTCACGTTTAAAAGCTGTTATAACTGTAAAAGGATGCTGTACTAAGTACTAAGATTGAATGTCACTTGGGGGTTGAATAAAACTGATAATGCTGTGAGCACAGAAAAGACATTTGTGGTTATTTCATTATAACTGTTATGTTATATTTGTCTGACCTACAAGTGCCTCTTTAATGTAAATGTAAGCAAGATGACTGAATGATCAAAAGCAATGTCAAACTGGCCAAAACACTCAATTTCAGTGGGGGTTGAATAATTTTGGACACAACTGTATATGTTCTGCACAAGCCTGAGTGTGCAAGCCTGTGGTGGACATAGTAAGCAATGGCTCTGTACAAGAGTGATTTTTTTTGGGTCCCCCATTCATCTACTGCCCAAGTGCAAAATGTTCTCACTGAGAGACAGCACTCATCTCCCAGCAGCTCTAACTCTCCCTGCCCGGCACCCAGAGCAGGGACATGGGAGGGACAGCTGCCAGTACACAGTGTGTATTCAGGCTGCAGGGAGGGTATCCTTGTATCCAAATACCCATACCCCCTGATGGTTGATCTTGCCCCAGCTGCAGGTGCTGGCCACTGGGGAAGAGGCAGAGTTGCAAAATAGGACAGGATGACTGCTGAGAAGTGAGCAGATGAGGACTGTGGAGGGGTGGGAGAGGATTGTGCATGCAAAGGTGAGAGCTGTGCTAGTCCAGAGGTAAGATCAGAGCTGAAGAAGATAGCTACAGAGCTTAGCAGTTTGGGGGGGGGGGGGTTATTGCAGAGAAAAGCTGTGGAAAAAAAAGACTGCAGAGGTGAGCTTTGGATAGGGGTTCAGAGGTACACTCTGCATATCGCACTCCTGAACTCTGCATTCTGTGCATAACACGCTCCTGAACCCTACATTATGAGCATAACACACTCCTGAACTCTGCACTCTGTACGTAGCACACAGCTAAACCCTGCATTCTATGTGTAATGCACCCCTGATTTAATAATGCTTCTTTAAGACCTCCCACTGGTGCAATTTGTCCACACCCACCCTATGATGCGGCATCCACGGGATGGGGAGGTGGGAGTTTCTGCATCTTTTCTCTGAGAAGAAAAAAGCCCATGATAGATAGATAGATAGATAGATAGATAGATAGATAGATAGATAGATAGATATACACTACTTGTAGATAAGTGTCAGGAATGGACTCAGCAATGGCGGTGGGACTCACCTGCCATGTGGGCTGCAGTACCAGGACTGACCAGCGGGTGCTCTCAGCAGCCAGAAGCTCACTCCTGCAATCAGCCAACACCTGGGGCTGATTGCAGGAGGTGTATTTAAGGAATGGCCAGACCTGCAGTCAGTGCCTTGGTGTATGTTTCCCATGAGCCCCTGTACCTGGTATCCTGTGTTCCTGCCTAGTTGCTGACCCTGCTTTGATCCTGACCTCTGCTGACCGTCTCCTGTTGAACCCCTGGCTTACCTGACCATCCTTCTGCCTGATCCTCTCTACCGCGCTGCCTGTGAGTTACTGAACCCGGTTTGAGACCCTGACTATTCTCTGCCTGCTCCTCCGATACCTCACTGCCCGCACGTTGCTGACCTGGCCTGCATGACTACGCCTGACGCTACCCAGACGATCCATCCATCCCGCACGGATCCAGTCACTACTGTCCAAACCTGCCAGCCCCTGCACATCAGGCTTTCCCCCGGTACATACCCTCGGCGGACCCCTCTACCACAGTTGGGTGCACTCAGGGGCCGCGACCTGGTCTCAGTCCTGCGCCAAGTCCATCCCCACCATCAGGGGCTCTGGTGAAAAGGCAGACTGGGGCTTAGACTCCGTGCCCTGGGGAATCCTGGTCTGTGGGTCACTAGAGATCCCGCCGGGCGGTGCCTGACGGTACCTTACGGCCCGCCTGCCCATTCCACCTCTCCAGCCCTGACTGTGCCTGTGTTCCTTAAGCCTGCTACTTCCTTGTGTCAGTCCACACATTTCTGGTCACACCTCGATCCCTGACAATAAGCATACACAAAACAGTCCAAATAGATATAAATGGTCTTTTTTTTTTTTTTACATCTTTTTCCATTCAACACACAAATTAAAAGGATTTTAAATAGACAATGACTCATACTCAAAAATGATCAAACTTTGGGCCCTTTATTGCTGGCTAAACCTGTGGTGATTTTTAGGGGAGCCCCTTCCTTACATTACAGAGTTGCCCCCAATGTTCTCAATCCCCCCTCTAAACCTTCCTTTTTCATAACCTGACAGGTTTTTATCCTTGCAGAAAATGTTCTGTGTGCAAGTATAACTGTTTGGGTCACCATAAAGCTGATTTTACATCCACAGCTACATCTCAATCTTATTCCATCAAATCATTTATAACCTGTGCTTTTTGTAATGTGGTCTACCTTTTGCAATGCCCTTGTGGCTTGCAATATGTAGACAGGACCACAAGATCCTTTAGTGTGACAGTTAAAGAGCTTTTCAATAACATCAAAAAGGGTTTTAAATCTCATAACATTCCTAAATCTCGCCTTTTTTATCATTATTTTTACACTTGTTTTTCTTGTCACATTTGTGTCAAGTCTATGCTAGAATATAATGTCTATGAATGTTTGTTATTAATACCCTATGGTTCTGTGGAGCCTACTTTATGGCAATTTTATCAAATTCATATTTGTATTTTGGAAACCTTTACATTTACATTTCTGTTCTAGAATACTATTCAATATTTCCCTTTTAAACATTTTGTTTATGTCTCTTTTTACACTTAATTTCTAATGTATACTTTTCGTTATTTATTTTTGTTTTTTTGTGGGGGCTGGGAGGCTTGGCTCCTGGTCCATTATCAATATTAGTCTTGGACTTGAGCTTCCTCTATGTTGTTTTTCTAGGCACTATTCAGTGCTTAAACTGAGGCATGGAATTGTGATTATTTCAAACCGAGGCTTGGTTTCGTCAGGGCTCCTTCCTCATTTCCGATTTCCTTTTGTTGTCTATATTTATTTTGGGATGACCAAACGTGGCTTCCATACCCCAGATGATGTCAGTTGTGACCAAACGCGTAGGATGGAGTCAGCATTTGTGACGTCATCACACAACTGAAACCCTTGATGAAGGAGCTATTGCGCATGCTCCGAAATGTGTCACCGCCCACCCTTTACATCACTTCCAGGATATGCATTCCATGCGGACGGCGTGCATTCCACAGCAGCCTAGGAAGAGTAGTGTCAGTGGGATGAATAGTGTCCCGCTGTTGATGCCAGTGGAAGGAATGGTGTCTCATTGTTGATGTCAGTGGGAGGAATTGCACCTCATCGTTGGTGTCATTAGAAGGAATAGTGCCCAATCATGTGTATCAGTTGGAGGAATTATGCCCATTGTTGGTGTCAGTGGAATGAAGAGTGCCCCATCATTGGTGTTAGTGGAAGTAAAAATGCCCCATTGTTGGTGTCAGTGGAAGGAGTGTACCTCAGTGTTAGTGTCAGTGCAAGAAATGGTGTCTGATTGTTGATGCCCCATTGTTTGTGTGAGAAGAAGGGATGGTGCCTCATTGTTAGTATCATTGGGAAGATTAGTGCCTCATCATTGGTTTCAGTGGAAGGAAAAATGCCCCATAGTTGGTGTCAGTGGGAGGAACAGTGCCCCATAACTGGTGTGAATGGAAGGGAAAATGCCCCATTACTGGTGTGAGTGGAAGGGAAAAATGCCCCATTACTGGTGTCAGTGGGATGAATAGTGTCCCACTGTTGATGCCAGTGGAAGGAATGGTGTCTCATTGTTGTCAGTTGGAGAAATAGTGCCCCATTGTTGGCATCAATGGGTGGAATAGTAACCAGGCATTGGTGTCACTAGGAGGAATAGTGCTCCATCGTTGATGTTATTGGAAGGAATAGTGCCCAATCATGTGAAATCAGTTGGAGAAATGATGCCCATTGTTTGTGTCAGTGGAATGAAGAGTGCCCCATCATTGGTGTTAGTGGAAGGAAAAATGCCCCATTGTTGGTGTCAGTGGGAGGAATAGTACCCCACTGTTGGTGTCAGTGGAAGGAAGGTTGTCTGATTGTTGGTGTCAATGGGAAGAATAGTGCCCCATTGTTGGTGCCAATGGGAAGAATAGTACCCCATTGTTGGTGTCAGAGGAAGGAATGGTGTCTCATTGTTGGTGTCAATGTTAAGATTAGCACCCCATCATTGGTGTCAGAAATAGCACTCCATTGTTGGTGTCAGTGGAAGGAATGGTGTCTGATTGTTGGTGTCAATGGTAAGAATAGTGCCCCATTGTTGGTGTCAATGGGAAGAATATTGCCTCATATCATTTGTATTTGAATAGTGTCCCAAGGGCTGGATAAAGGCAAGCAAAGGCCACATCCGGCCTGCGGACCCCAATTTGGAGACCACTGCCCTAGATGATCAGAACCGATCATGATCAAGGGGCACACCAGGCTACTATGGGGTGTTTTGGGGGAGCGTCTCCCTGCAGACATTTTTTAAATCCATGGTGAGATGCAGTCCTCAGAAAGGAAGTTAGGGAAATTGGTCTTTGTCAGATCCAAAACAGATATAAAAAAATCCAGAACTAATGGAGGACAGACCATGTGAACCATGGACAGGGCAGACTTTCAGAAGCTTGCTTGTCCTTACTGGGGAGATCAGGAATACTCCGGTCTACTTTGTAGAGTGATTTGTTAGGTATATGAATATACATGATTCACAGAAAAAAACAGTTTCAGGCAAAAGTCTTTTATATATATATATTATATATATATATATATATATATATATATATATTCTACTTACTCTGGATATGCTTTGTTCAGTTTGACATGAGGGTTCCTTTGAACAAAAATACCCCCAACCTTTCTTCCAATTTAACATTCTCTAACCACCCAGTGGTCTGTTAATAGTCTCCTTTACCAGCTTAGTGATTTCATACACAATAGTGGCTTCAAGCGCAGCTCCCGATATCCAACATTTTTCTTACCTACATTTTTGTCAATATGTGTCCTCGATTTCTCTTCATTTCATTGGAAATGGGCAAATAATGCCTGCGGCTCCATTCACGAGAGAGTGTTGCTGCCTGAAACGTTCAATAATAAGCTAGCCTGCGAATTTTCTCCATTGTAGCTAAACAAATAAAATTATTTAACTGTTTGTTAATAAGCGCAGATTCAAACAAAATTCTGTTCATTAGCCAAGGATTGTTTGGCTCATTCAATAAGGAGATCCTGTCCCTAAGTGCTAATTCTCAAGTAACATAAATAAGCCAATCAGAATCCATCTTGCGCCGATTAGACTTCAGTAGAGTGAATTCTGATTGATTGCTATAAGTTGGTGCATTTAAAGTGTATGTAAACCACCCCCACCCTCAAAAAAAAAAAAAGTCCTTACCTCAGTTGATTGCATTTGGGGAGTTGTTTTATATCTGTAGGCTTTTTTCCAGTTTTAGCTGTTGATTTGGCCATTAAGGGACTTAGGGCTCATCATTTATACTTGCGTTTGGGAAGGGGGTGGTGGTTAAAACAGATCCATTCAAGTGATGCACGTGGTGGTACAAAATTTCCAGGGCTAAAACAGGTGATGAGGAGGCAACATATTGCCTGTTAAACGTCCCTGAAAAGTGATCTAATGTAGATAATTTTTCAGAGGGGTGGAAAACATTGCCGCATGTGTACACATAGCCGTGTTGTCCCCCGGGCCTTCCTAATGCACGGGCCTCCCTGGGCACTGGCCTTGGAAGCTACAATCCCCCCCCCCCCATGGGGGAATCCCATGTGGACAGAGTGGGTGATCAGTCGGAGGAATAGTGCTCCTTTTTTGGTGTCAGTGAGAGGAATAGTGCCTCATTGTTGGTGTCAGTGGGTGTGGCTAAATTATGCTACATGTTAGGAATCGCATGTGGACAGAGCAGGTGATCAGTGCAGTGGGTGGGGGAAATTACTGGAACCAAATGTCTGTGTGGCTGTCCCGGCAGCAGCTGAAAGATGGCATCTCCTTCTCCCTCCCACCGGCTTTCAGCTGCTGCAGGGACAGCAACACAGAAGTTTGGTTCCAGTAATTTCCCCCACCCACTGCACTGATCACCTGCTCTGTCCACATGCGATTCCTAACATGTAGCATAATTTAGCCACACCCATTGACATCAACAATGAGGCACTATTTCTCCTACTGACACCAACAATGAGGCACTATTCCTCCTACTGACACCAACGATGGGGTACTATTGCTCCCACTGACACCAATGATGGGGCACTATTCCTCCCACTGACACCAACAGTGGGGTACTCTTCCCCCCACTGACACCAACAATTTGGCACTGTTCCTTCTGCTGAAACCAGTGATGGGGTACCATTCCTCCCACTACCAATGATGGTAAACTATTCCTCACACTGACACCAATAATGAGGCACTATTCCCCCCTCTGACACCAATGATGAGGCACTATTTCTCCCAACTGACACCAATGATGGGGTACTATTCCTCCCACTAACACCAAAAAAGGAGTACTATTCCTCCTGACTGACACCAATAAAGAGGCACTATTCCCCCTTTGATACCAATGATGGGTTTGGAGACCCATGGTTTAGTCAGTCACATATTTAGTCCTTCAAACAATTATCCTTCTCTGTTTGTCTCTGTGTTGGGTTGTGTCTCAGATTCTGTCTGCCTGCTTTTCAGGACTTACATCCAGCCTGGCTCATTTCCTCTATGGCTTCTATTGTGAGTAACATCTTTATCGGTGAGATGACCCCAGGGTTGTATCTTTAAGTATCAAGTAGAGCTGTTCCATCCACACCATTGATGGCTCTGGAGAAGACCAGGTGCTTCTGAGTTCTCCATCTCAGAGGATCTTGTCTTTTACAGGTCTTTATCTCCATCAATTTTATTGACTTCCACTGGTTTTTCATCAAGGCCAATCATTCATTTTAATGGCCATTTATTGACTGTGAAGATTTTCATTTATCCAGGTCATGGTAATGCTACTAGTAGTTATTTACATTCAATGGGATGTGTTCTGTAATGTTCAGCACTATAAAACAAATCCAGTTGAATGTGATTAACTACTATGCTTGAGAACATTTATTGACTGAAACTCTCTTTTACGACAATGGATTTCTAAAGAATACAATCAAATATTCATTATAATAAACCAATGTATTGTTACATGTATGAGTACAATATAAGATACATCTGGAGACCATACTTGTACCCAGGGCTTTTTTTTCAGGGGGAACGTGAGGAAACGCACATCCAGCACTAAATGTATGTAATGGCAAGGGGTGCTGGGGTGCAGTATGGGTCTATTGATGCTGACTATTGGGGTATCTATTGTCACTGGGAGGAGAAGAGGGGCTATTATAATGGGAAGTCGATTGTTTCTGGGTAGGTCTATTATTGCTGGTGGTGGATCTAGTCTATTGTTGCTGGAGGGGGTCTTATATCACTGGGGGGTTAATTGTTGCTAGGAAGCATGGACTCTCGAGGGAGGGGCCTATTATTCCTGGCTGCTGGGAGAACTACTGTTGCTGGTGGGAGTCTATTGTTCCTGGGGTGGATCTGTTGTTGCTGAGGGAGTATTTTGTTGCGGGGAGTCTATTGTTGCTGGATGGGGTGTATTGTTGCTCAGTGCAGGAGATCTATTTGACTGCTTTTCGCTTTTTTTGTTATTATTAATCCCCTGGTGCCAGCGCCTCTTGGCCCTTTAAGGGGTTTGTGATACGGGGGGGAGGGGTTTAGGGTCAGGTGACCGCTGTGATTTGCTATCACAGCAGTCACATGATCGAAAAAAGGTCCCAATCACAAGTAGTGATTAGGGCCTGTCCATGAGGTGCCAGGAAATGTGTCAGGAATGCGCAGGGTGTGCGCTCTCAGCACGTTTGTTCACTCTTGGGGCTCATGTACACTGCAGCTGATAAACTCATGTTTAGGAGCTGATCAGCGTTTTTTTCAGCAGCCCCTGAACTCTTCCTAATGTTTTCCTATGTGTCCATGTACACATCTTCGTTTACAGGCATTTGAGTTTACAGTAGTTTTTTTGGAACGCAGAAAACTTGCGTTCAACATCGATTTTATCAGCGTTTCACATGCAAAATGCTTGTAAACTCGGCTAAATGCCAAAAATCGCGTTTATAAGCGTTCAAAATTTTTTTTAACTCTTCCAGTTCCCGATGCTGTCCGGAGCCTCTTTTCATCATGAAAAATGCATGCAAAGTGTTTTCAAGGTTCTCAGATGGACAAAACACTGAACACAGGATGTTCCTACCAATCTTGTCACACATTGTAATGACCAATTCACACCTCAGACCTCTCCCACCCTTGGAAACAAAAGATATGTTAATGACCATTCACACCTCAAATTCCTCATGAGGACCCCGTGCCAGGTGACCTTACTGACTCCCTCCACCAGCCACCTTTCCCACCCTTGGAAACAAAAGAAATGTTAATGAGCAACTCACACCTAAGCTAATCTCAACACATACTGCTGTCTCTGCTTCTACTCTCTGTATTTCCCTGAAACAGTCTGAAATAGTTAATAATGTACCATTTTTCAGTGCATTCTGGGCATTTGGGAGGTTCTCCTATGCTTATCTTTAAAAAACGCTTCTAAACGCAAATGCACATAAATGCGTTATGCAAACGTGGCTAAACAGATGTTTTTTAACCTACGTTTTCCAGCAGTCAGTTTCCATCATTCAGAAGTGTCCCATGTACATGGGGCCTTGGCACGCAAATAGGTCAAGGTCCAGCCGCCGAAAGGCCTCGTATTTGCGTACTATTTTGAGCTGTTACCTGTGTATTTTTGCTTATTATCCTGAAGCTCTTAAATTCTTTTTCTTTTTCTCTTTTCTTTTACTTTTTTAAATTTTTTAAACTACTTTTATTTTTGCTGTTTTATTATGGCGCTTTAGGTTCGTTGATTTATTTAAATTTTCTGTATTAATGCAGGTTCTTTGAGGAGTTAACATTTGCTCTTATAAAGCATACTTAAAGCAAGTAAGTCTTTTAGCAGCACTATTCCAAATTGTCTTGCCACTGGAGTAAGCAGAATCACG